AGCTTGCTCGGCCCTTACAAAGAGGCGGTGGCGTACCTCACCCTCACGGTCCCCAGCGCGTCCTTCCCCTCGTCCAGGCTGGAGGAGGACAGACCGGCCTGCCTCTGAGGGGCCCGTCTTCTGGCAGAGCCGGGCAGGCTGACCAGCAGCCAGGTGACGTGGCGGGAAGGCCCCACCTGGAACCTCTTGCAGACGCGGTAGAGACGGGGGCCGGGGGCCGGGTGTGGGGTTTCGGCTAACTGCATCCCCCATTCCTTGGAGGAGGCCTCCCGCCACTGCTGAGGGACCCTGGCCAAGGGGGACCCCGGGACCCCTCGCCGAGCCGGGCGGTACCAGCCAAGGCAGAGCCAAGCCAGCCGGCAGAGCAGAACCAGGGTGGGCAGGACCAGGAACGCCAAGCAGGCGAGGTACAGCCCCAGGCGGAGAAGGCAGCAGGAACCGGCCAGCCAGCCCACGTAGGACCCCCTACGAGCAGCTACTCCAACGACCCGGACAGGCCGAGCAGGGCAGAGACATTGGGCGGTGGGCCGGGGGGTGGCTGGCGGGCCCGAAATCCTGGCCTGGCTGGAGCTGAACGGGACCAGGGTTGCAGAACTCGGAGGAGGCCAAGCTGTGGCCGTCGCTGGCGGACGGGTCCTCGGGGCAAGAGGGCTGGTCACCATCGAGGCCGTGGGGCTGGGAGCAAGCGGGGTGGACAGGGTTGTCGTGGCGGTAGGGACGTGGCGGGGTGGGGTGGACGGGACGGGGGAGGTCGAGGGGCCTGCCGTCACCGTGGGGACATTCGACCTTCCACCGCTGCTGGAAAGGCCGAAAGTGACCACCGGCGCGGTTGTGGTGAAAACACGAAGAGCGGTTGTTGTACCAGGGCTGGTGGTGGTTGTGCGGAAGGTTGTTGCAACAGGGCTGGCGGTTGTGCGGAAGGTTGTTGCAACAGGGCTGGCGGTTGTGCGGAAGGTTGTCGCAACAGGGCTGGCGGTTGTGCGGAAGGTTGTTGCAACAGGGCTGGCGGTTGTGGGGGAGTGTGTCGTGGAAGGACTAAGCGCTGAAGTGCTCATTATGGTTGTGCGAGCAGCAACAGTTGCGCTGAGGGTTGTGCTCGGCCTGCGTGAGGAGGCCCGTGGTGTCACGCCGGCAGTGGTTGGTGTCGAAGGGGAAAGAGTCGGAGCGCGAGTCCAGCTCTCCCCCTCCGCCTCGCCCTCCTCTTCCCCCTCCGGGTCTTCGTCTCCGAGTCTCCTGCAGGTGGCTTTGAAGTGCATGACGGGCCGGCCCTTCTCCCCGGGGGGCGCCTGGCAGACGACTCGCAGGGGCTCGTTCTCCGTCACCTCCTTATCCGAGCCGTCCTCCTGCACGGTCGTGCGGGTGTACACCGTGTGCTCGTTCTCCACGATCCAGTCCCGCAGGTACATCAGCTGGCAGTCGCACCGCCAGGGGTTTCCCACCAGGTAGACGAAGACGTACATGGCCTCCTCGGAGAAGAAGCCCTCCGGCAGGCGCTCCAACCGGTTCCTCTCCAGGCGTAGAATCTCCAGGTTGGACAGTTGGGAGAGCAGCTCCGCGGGCACTGACGCCAGGCGGTTGTCCGATAGGTCGAGGTCCTTCAACTCCTCCAGCCCTTCGAAGGCCCCGACAGGCAAGCTCTCAAGCTGGTTTTCTTGCAACTGCAGTTCGTCCAGTTTTTCCAGGCCACGGAAGGCTCCCTCGGGCAACTGGGAGAGCCGGTTGTGCCCCAACGCCAGGACCTTCAGGCCGGGCAGCCCTGGGAAAGCGGGCAAGCTCTCCAGGCCGTTATGGGACAGGAGCAGGTTCTTCAGTTGGGGCAGCGGGGCGCCGATCTCCAGGGCTTTCAGGCTGTTGTTGGACAGGTCCAGGTCGCTCAGCTCGGGCAGGTGCTGGAAGGAAGCCAGGTCAACCTTGGCCAACTGGTTGGAGGCGAGGAGCAGGATGCCCGTGGTCTTGGGCAGCCCGGTGGGGATACTCGACAGCCTCTTTTCCACGCAGCTCACTTGTAGTTGCTCCTTGATCATCTCCGTCTCGCACACTTCCTCCGCGGGAGGAGGCAGGGCTCCCGCCGCAGCCACCGAGGCAGCCAGGAGAAGGGGGACCAGCAGACCCGACAGCATCTGTGGAGAGGAGGCCACACAGAAGATCGAGAGTCAACATTCAAGCATACAGGCTACTCGGACGCAACGGGCTGGGAGTTGCTCCAAACGCTGCAGCGGCCGGCGGAGTAGCTTTCTCCTACTTCCCCTCGGACCTCCACTGGGGGGGTGGGGCACAAGGAGAAGGGCCAGGCAGAATAACTCCCCACACCCCAAGGATGGGGAAGATCCTTGACAGCCGCGGTGCCCAGTCCCCCAGGCCGTGGACTGGTACTGGGCCTGGGCCGTGGACCAGTACTGGGCCTAGTTAGCGAAGTTTCACCCGCGCATGTCACGAGGGATCTGGGCTGCGCACGAAACCGTCCCCCCACAGTAGTCAAACCTGTCCCCCGGTGCCAGAAAAGTCGGGGATCCCTGCGAAACTTTTCAGGAAGTTGCTCGAATTATGGACTGTGCTGAAGAAGAAGAAGAAGAGGAAGAGGAAGAGGAAGAAGAAGAAGAAGA